TTAAAATTTATGAAGGGAGTAGATAATCAACGTGCATGAAAATTTACATATCCTGTCGAATGCATTATTGGAGTAGAGCGAAACAGGTTAAATCAATTATCGCCTAATAGGCCTTGAAAATAAGAAGAGAAGAGAAAAAACTTTGACTGGAATTTGTATAGGCAATGAAATGTGTCGATGTCTATGTCTCCCTAAAAAATAAGAAGGGTATGGATGTTCAAGGCTGTGTTTGTGAATTGTGTGTGCTAACTGTCTCAGGAACGTGTAGTTTTTTGTAGTCAAAAGACTTCAAAATTTCTGGCCTTCATTGGCAATGGCCATGCCTTATTGGTAAAATCTCAAGGAATGTGATCCCCAGCAATTCCTCTTAAACCTGGCAAGAGGGCAAATGTTTTTTAAATTGCGACGTATCAAACACAAAAGCGGTAGTGGTAACGGTCAGGGTGAAAATGGTATTGGGGTTTTGAATCGAGAATTGAGTGACGTGATCGTAATTTTTTTAAAAATATCAATAACGTCTCTAAAACTCATTCATATGCCTTTTTGTCTTCGTCTCAAGTTTAATTTACATAATTTTATTCAATATTTTAATACAATAGAAAACATTTTTTACCTTCAAAACTCTTAAAAAATTACCTTGGAACGTTGAAAAAGATAATATTGTATGTTTTTCCGCGCAACAAAACAGATGTATAAAGTCTTTTGGTATTGTAAATAATCAAAATTATATTGGGATTAAGGGAAATATAACAATAACTTGGTTTTGATTAATTTTTTCTGGACTCATTTTCACATGATATCTTTTCAGAACCAACAGCCATAACAAGATAAAACTTAATTGCCAATACACTTGTTAATCATTTTTTTATGAATCTAATCATAAATCACAAAGGTAAGTCGACAGAACATGAGAACAGTCATTCCAAAGGCAGCAGGCGGATCAGAAATCAATTAGATGCGGGAAGAGAACGGCAAAATAATAAGGTAAAAACATACCCAAAAGGTGCTCCTCCCAAATCACTTGAAAATGGTACTTGCAAAAATAAAAACGACCACATCAGCTTTGTGTTTGAAATGTTTAAGCTTAAATGGCATGTCATCTCATCACATATTCAAGATTTTCTAAAGTATTGGTAAAGCTTTGAATAAAAATCAGGCAAATTAGTAGGCAACATATAATACAACCCAAAACCTCTATAATGACATGTTTTTATGAGGGAATAAAAGAATTGAGTAAAAAAAATCAGATTTGCCAAATGAGGCAGAATCTAATATGAACCAGTAGTGACACTGGTGGGCATAGTAATCATCCTGATGCATATGACATCGATTTAAAATGTGAAAAGTTTCCTTCTCTCTTCCTTCATTATTCTTTAGAAGTTCCACATACAATCATACGTGATTAATGGCCTCCTTATACAAAATATTATTTTGTAAAACTTGGGGTGGGTACACCGCTCTAACCCTATATTATCCGAGCTGCATTTGTTAGTTACAAAGAAGAGTGCTACTAAAAGCATATGATTTTGAATGCCCATATTTCTAAGGCAAGTTCTATCACCAGCTTATCTAAGTTCCTATTTTTGATCCTTAAACCTTTCAAATCCTACTGTCCGTTTCCACAGTATCTAAATAATGAAGCCTTTGCTCCTTATACCTCTCTCTCTCTCTCTCAGTAAACATAAGAGATAGTTTCAGGAACTTTCATTCATTACCATACATCAACCTCAGCAAACAATATAATAGGGTCATCTTCAAATCAAAACAAATGTTTACACAACCGAAATGTTGTCCTCAAAACAAAGAGTGCTCCCAATACATAAAAGTGGTGAAATGATGACAATGATGATGATTCCTACATCTATTCCCAGAAAAGTTTCAGTTGAAAGAAAACAAAATGGTGAATGAAAACCCTAACACGTTGAGAATTGAACTCCAAACCCAAAATCAAAGAAGAATGCTACAAGTACACACAAAATTAGCAATAAAGCATCAGATGAATCATGAGTTCTATTTGCTTCAATTTCATGTGTAGACACAACACAAGGTAACCCAATTAAACCCTCATCACAACAACACATGGATGCAGAAGATGCAATAATCGCATAATCCAAATAACCAATCAATCATCAAAAACAAACAGTCTGAACTAAAGATTGAATATGCACACATGTAGATATCTAAGAGAGAGAGAGAGAGAGAGAGAGAGAGAAGAGAGAGAGAGAGAGGAGAAATACTTTAAAGAACCCCCCAAAGAACTCTGAGAGACCAACCACCGAGCGAGGCAGCAACATTGTCTGGTTGGGGTTGGATAGAGAGAGAAGGCGTCCTCTTTCGACGGGATTTCGATATACCAAATAAACACAAAAACCACACAAACAAAAAAGTAATCAAAAAAGCCTTTCATATTCCTGAGAAAGATCAGAAGAACAAAGTATGAGGACCAAGTATAGCATACACACAACCTATCCTAATATGTAATATATATGCGTATTATGTTACAGCAAAGCTAGAGGTATTGCAGTGTTTTGAAGTTTCTCTCACCTACCAATCAGAAAAAAAAGGGAGGATAAATTCCAAATACATTCTTGGGTATTAGATTAAAGAATTAATGTTTGGTGGCCTGAAAATTCTGTCCCGAATGGCTGAAACGATTTGTTTCAGTCATTCAAATTTTTATTTTTTATTTTCTTCTTCCTCGGTCTGATACGCAGTGAGGGAGGAGAGAAAGAGAAATAGAAAAAATTGGGAGGGGGAGAGGCCAGTCGCGTCGCCGTCGCCGATAGCCGAGCCGCGCTCCGCCTCGCCGCCGTCGCTGCTCTGCTCTGATCGTTGGCCGTCGCTGCTCTGATCGTCTCCTCCGCCCTCGTTGGCTCTGCCCCGCTCGTCGCCTCCGCCGATAGTGTCGCCTCCGCGCCACCGTCCTCCTCCATTTTTAGGCTCCCTCCATTCCTTCCTCCCCCCTCCTCCTCCTCCCCTCCCCTTCCCTTCCTTCTTCGTCTTCCTCTTTTTCTCCTGCTGAAAAAAAAAAAAAAAAAAAAATTAGGGAAATTTTTTTTGAGCCATTCGAGCCGCTGCCATTTCGGGCTCTGTAGCACCACGTGTAGATTAAAATATGAATTGTTTTTTTATGATTTTAAAAATTATAATATTTCATTCTTGATATTTTTAATTTCTTAATAAATCATCCTTTTATTAATACATTAGTAAATTTAATTAATAATTTTTAATTGATATTATAAATATATTTTTAATTAATAATTTAGATAATTTTATTATTGTAATAGAAGAGTAATTAATGAATTTATTTTCAAACAATGATTTTAGGATGCACTAATTTTAGTGCTTTTAACGAAACATCCAATGACAATGGCGACTGGAGAAAAAAAAAAAAAAACAAATAAACGAACTAAGTGGGTTTTTGGGGTGTCCGAAATAAAGTCATTTTTTATATTTTTTTAAACTAAAATTGAGAAAAAAATATGGATGTTTGGGTTAACTTTTTTGAACTTTTTATATGATAAAATGAGTGTATAAAAATATTGTAAAAAATTGATTTGTAGGGAAAATTAGAGGATTGAGAGTTGTGCAGCCGTAATTGTTGACTTTTGGTGAATAGTGTTAACTTTTTAACTTTTTAAGTAACTTTTTAACATTTTAACTTTTTTACAAAATACCGAACTTGGCCTAAGACCAAAACATCACATTACAGTGGGTGGGACCCACTACCAGCTCACACATTAGTAAATTAATTAATGATTTTTAATGATATTATAAATATATTTTAATTAATAATTTAGATAATTTTATTATTGTATAAGAGAGTAATTATAAATTTTATTTTCAGCAATGATTCAGAACACTAATTTTGGTGCTTTAACGAAGCACCAATGA